AAACAGTGGAAGTGTTCAGCATTGAACAGCTCCAGGCTGACACTCTTACTTTCGTATCAGTATTTCAGCGGAAGGCCACCAACTCAGGTTACTGAACAGATGTTTTTAAAGCTACATCAGGATCTATGAAACACACTTATGGCATCTTCTTCGAGGCGGTTTGCACCTTTCGTTCATTTTTCAGTGATGGTGAGTTAGTTCTCTGTCTTAGTTTTGCGCAGTTTCACGTGTCAGTAGGTGTGTGTGTGTGCGCGTGTGCGTGTGTGTGTGGGGATATTGTTCTGGTCTGTTGTGAAGAAGACGACGAGTCAAGGGGTAAAGCTCTTTATTTGTGGTTTGCTTATCAGGGTATCCGTGGGTCCTTAAAAAGTCTTAAAAGTCTTAAATTTGCCTTTCCAAATTTAAGGCCTTAAAAATGTCAAATAATCCTTAAATACAGTTTCCAAAGGTCTTAAATTACCAAAGACCCAATAAACAAAATTATTTTGTTTCTATTAAATTTTGTGAATTTCTAGTTAGTGTTCAGCATTTGTTGTGCATGATGTTGGCATAAGCAGAACCGTACACATTCAGTTGGTTGTGAAAGGGGACTCATTTTAGATGAGCACATTAGCTGGTTAAGCTAGTGGGAGCTTGCGCCATGGGGAAGTGCAAGTTTAATGGTAACTGGATGGTTAATCCCACTTTTGCGATGTGGTTAGCACCGGTTCCAGGCAATAGCTAAAAATTATAGCTTAAATTTAATTTCAAAAGTAGCTTAAATTTGGTCAAAATGGCCTTAAAAAGGGTCTTAAAAGTCTTAAATTTGGCTCCCTTAGACCTGCATACCCTGCTTATGTTCCAACCCTCATCTTGGTCCAGTTTTACTCATCAAATTGGTAAAGAAATATATATATATATAAAAAAGCGAAACATCAGCTAATACAATCTTTTATGTGTCAAGCGTTAGGGCTGGACGACAGTTCAATAGTTCAATATATCTATCGATAGACATGTGGTGCGATAGAAAAAAATGGGTTGATAACTTTTTAAACTTGAGTTTAAAGTTTTAAGAAATTTATTACTAACAATTTAAATGTGACAATTTCTAAGACAAGTTATAATAGACAATTAATAAAACTTTGGTATTAAATAGCAACCCTGTGAATGGATGAATCTAAGTGAAAGTGTATGTTTGTTTGTGGGTGAATGCGTGATCAGAACATGTATCTTGGAGAGAGGAGCGCGTTCTGGGTGGAAAGAATTTGGTTTGCAGATAAACTAAAGTTGTTCTTATTAAAGAGCATTCAGACTCAATCTTGTGTTGTACCTCACTGTTCAGACGACCCTCTTTTCAGATCCGGGGTCAAGGGAAGATGTTGATCAGCCACTGGGTACCCGGTCCGGTAGGGAACACCAGTGTTACCGACTCTCTGGTCCTAGAGATGCCGCAGGCACACAGGTGTGGAATTGGTTTGCGTTTGAGCAGATTCTTAAGGAATCTCGTAGCGTCAGCTTTGTTCTGCAGGTGTCGTTGTTGTGTCGTAGCAATTCTGCCAGCGTGACAGAGATCGCTTGTTGGTTAAAGAGCGTGTGGGCGACCGTCCCACTCCTCTAGAACTCACTCGCTAAATGCAGAGAGTTCTGTTTTATAAGATGGGCATTTCCTGGTCTACGAATCAGGTTTTAACATGTAGAGATTTTAACATGCCTCAGAAGCCCGCCTTCCCAAGATAGAAAGTTCTCGTGGATGAGAAAATAATCATGTGAGTGCAGTTAACCTTAACCTGATTTACTTTGTCCTGCATGATTGTGTATAAGTTCACACGATCTTCTTGTCGCTGTTAAACATTACTGATTATCATAAATAACAGGGGTGGACCTTTAAAGCGCAACCGAGCGCCAATGGCGCTACATTTTCTCGTTGGGCGGTAAATACTTTACGACTTACCGCCCGGTGGCCCCCAAGCTTTATTTGTCATTTACACAACGGCTTTCACCTACATCATGGCCCCGCCCTGTAGGAAGCTGCCGTTTTCGTTTCGCGCGCGTGAACCTGCGCGCCTCTAGCCACGTACTGCACTTGTACGATTCGTGCACGTACTGCACGATTCTAGTTATTGTCACGTGAACTATAAGTTCACTATTAAAGACGAAGTGGAACCACGCTAGAAACACACAAGCACGCAGGAAGATCGCGCCACCACAGGGATGGGATTTCTTGATGAAATCTCCGGCAAAACGCTTTAAAACTGGTGAGGAGAAGCGAGACAGTTCGCAACGGTATGAAGCAGAGAAGCGTGTGCGTAGGTGGAATGATTCTTGGCGGTTTAAAGAAGACGGGAGGCGCAGAGAATGGCCGTATTTGAGTTGAGTAGCGGCTCGCCTGGAAAACAGACGGAAGCAGCAGGGGGAGTGGCTGAAAGCCGGCGTTTAACGCCGGGGACACACCGGCCGCGGAAGCGCCCGAAGCGAATCGCTCACGAAGTCCGGCCGCTGCTCGCCGCTCCTCAGTTCAGATCAGACGCGCCCCAGTCGAGGCGCGCCTCGGCTCAGCTGTAGTTTTTCTTTTAATTACTTGCTGTCCTCCATTTCCTCAGCTCTTTTCCTCTACGTGTGTGTGAGTGTGAGTGTGAGTGTGTGTGAGTGTGAGTGAGTGTGAGTGAGTGAGTGAGTGTGTGAGTGAGTGAGTGAGTGTGTGAGTGTGTGAGTGTGTGAGTGTGTGAGTGAGAGTGAGTGAGAGAGAGAGAGAAAGAGAGAGAGAGAGAGAGAGAGAGAGAGAGAGAGAGAGAGAGAGAGAGAGAGAGAGAGAGAGAGAGAGAGAGAGAGAGAGAGAGAGAGAGAGAGAGGAGAGAGAGAGAGAGAGAGAGAGGAGAGAGAGAGAGAGAGGAGAGAGAGAGAGAGAGAGAGAGAGAGAGAGAGAGAGAGAGAGAGAGAGAGAGAGAGAGAGAGAGAGAGAGAGAGAGAGAGAGAGAGAGAGAGAGAGAGAGAGAGAGAGAGAGAGAGAGAGAGAGAGAGAGAGAGAGAGAGAGAGAGAGAGAGAGAGAGAGAGAGAGAGAGAGAGAGAGGAGAGAGAGGAGAGAGAGAGAGAGAGAGAGAGAGGAGAGAGAGAGAGAGGAGAGAGAGAGAGGAGAGAGAGGGAGAGGAGAGAGAGAGAGAGAGAGGGTGTGAACCAGTTGTTTCTGCCAGTTTAAATCTCTTGGATTTCCCCCGCATGATGGATGAAGATATCGCGTTAGCATTCACACTTGTTCAATTTTCAATTTTAATTCTGGTTGCCTGTTAGCAGCTGAAACACATCCTCACGTGCTTGTGGATATCATATATTGTATATGAAAACATGACTGTAATAATAAGTAAAGGTTAGCAGCTGTTCAGTGTGCTCATAGGAAACGTGACAAAAGAAAACAAAAACGCATTTCTCCTTATGGCTTATATAGTTGTCATCATCAACGTTACATGATTTACAGAATACATGTGAACAACTAACATTTCATGTTCTACCACCGGATGTTTGGATCAAAATATGAACCAATCAGATCTTAGATCAGGTGAGAGCCAGGCGTTTCCCCATCATCCTCTATGTTTTGCAGCTGAGGGAGAGCAACTGCAGCGCCTTGCTCCAAAATCTGCAACCGCCTTGATCTCACGAGGTTATCGTTGCCTACGTATGCATGACGTCAGAGCAAGTCGGCATCAATTCGGACACAAATCTAACCGGCATGCACTGCTCGCCGATCACTGCTAGTCTAATCTGCGCAGAAATGGCTCATCTCGAACACAGCCAATGGCTCAAATACAGCAAAGCGGGAGTTGGTGATGTACTGCGTTGTATGCCGGAAGTATGCGACGACAAAATCGAGTTTTGTTGAGGGAACAAACAAATTCAAACTTGAATACGTTATTATGTTTGTGAATGTGTACAAAATAAAGGTTTATTACATTTTAAAACGGTTCAGTTGTTATTTTGACTCGTTTTGGCTGATGACCAGCGGGGCCGGTAGATTCTTGGCGGGGCCGGTAAATATTCAGAGTTACCGGCCCGGCTGGCCGGTTGGTTTTGAAGTTAATGTCCACCCCTGAATAATAATTATTAATAACCAAAGACTAATAATTCATTTCAGTAATTAAACACCGTTAAAATAAACCATGATAATTATTTATGAACATTGTAATAAGACAGTGAAAAGAGTTTATTAAAAATTATTCTTTTAAATCTTGAAGTGTCCTTCGTCTTGCGGATGGAACAGCAGTCAGGTTAAAGGGGTGGTAGACCGACATTCAGTCTCCTGTGAAAGAAACACTGTAGATTGTCGTAGCAGCCAGGTCAAAGTGACCCAGGCCGTGTGTCTGACATGAGAGTCAAGAATCAGGCCATTCAGTGATGCTACAAGTATTTGAGCAGCTATTGCTTGACTGGTGCCTTAGATAAGAAGGAATCACTTACACGAATGAAGGACATACAGTAATGTACAATATCAAGCTTTTTGCAGTCTGTTTAGTTACAACAGGCTTGCATAGATTATATGTGCTGTTTATATAGGGGATTACGGTATAGGGAGACAGTATACACAGATGCTGTTGGTCCTATCAACAGTTTAATATCACCAGTCTATCTCAGTAAATCTGAAATGTGCCTTTATTATTGTCATGATCAGATTTTTGAGGCCTTGTTTCCAGCCTATCCCAGGCTTTTAAAATGAAACAGAAACATTTTGTTGTTCAGCTGTTATTTTCCACAATGTTCCTTTGAAAGTAGGGCAGAGCTGTCATTGCTGCTCAGGGGCAGAGCTGTCATTGCTGCTCAGACCTGTCCAACAGCGTTTAGGAGCTTTTGGCCTGATTTGTGACAATGATTATTTCACCGAGCAAAAGTTAAACTCACACTAATAAGCCACTAGTCAGGCTACAAAAACATTTGTTTCCAGACTATTTTTATCATTGAAAATGATTCTAACAAGCACTTTTCCTGTTTTTCTCTCTCCTTCTCTTTAACTGTTACCACTTGTCGTGTTCTCCAGACTTTAACTACAACACAGATGGCTATGAGGGGGATGCTACGGAAGATGGCAAGTCCCAGGATGGCTCTGAGACACTGCCCTATATAGATGAATCTCCCACCATGTCACCCCAGCTGTGCGCCTCTCAAGGGCCACCACCAGAGGGCCTCCTGCCTGGGGTAAGAACACACACCAACAGATGTGTTGGACCGTCTCCTTTTTACTTTCACATAAATTTTTGTGTTGCACAACAGACCCTAAATCACCGGCCGGATGTCTGTGAATATATTATACAGCATATGTTGTATGCGTTATTAACTGTTCACAAGTAGGTCAGTAATGATTTGTTAGCTTACGTGTTCCAGTCTGTTTTCATAAGTGTTGGAAAGTCCAGCTTTCATCACAAAACATTTCCTGTTTTTATGCAAAGCCATCTGAGTCATTCATCTTATCAGTGTTTTTAACAAACATCTGTCAACTCCCAGATTTATCCCAAAACACTGTCTGAGCAATCCATAAGCAAATTTAACTTTGGAATATCGTCAATCCCAACCTTGCACCTTTTAGGTAATTAACAGCAAACTAAAGGATTAAGAGATCTATCAGCGAAGTCTTTTAGTATTCACATATCTGTGTTGGGGTTATTAGGAGCGAATAATTCGTAAGCTTTAACTTACTTTTGGATTCTTCAATAAATTCTGTAAATATGGGAATATTTACTGATTTATTAATTAATTAAGATATTCTTAGATATACGGGGCACCATTCCCCTTCAACCGGGGAAAAATTGAATCCAAAACTCTTATCAGTCTTTCTTGAAGTTCGTAGAATCCTCGGAGCAGAGACTTCTCTTCGACACAACAAAGCTACTGGAGACGAAAATCTGACTTTTATAACGTTTAATTAACAATTTGTCAAATGAATAAACAGTGGCATAAATGAATAATAACCATGTGATATAATAAAAGGATGTATATTCAAAATAATGTTCAAGGTGTTTTGTGTGTATGTGTGTGTGTGTGTGTTTCTAAAATGGAGTCTGTATACAAGATGGCTGACCCCTTTGTCTGGCTAAAGTGTGGGTGGCAACTTGCACTTTAACTTCCAAGGCACTTAGAATCATAAGTAACTTAACCTTAAATCACTCAAAACATTTCAAAGGATCATGAAACAACACAAAAGATTAATCACGAATAATATCTTTTAGTTTAACCACGTGGCCAAGCAGAAAACATTTAAAGATACCAAACAATGATCAATAAGCAGTTTATTCTTTCAAAATAACCCGACGGACGTGTTTGGGAATGAAAGAGGAAAACACGAAGCTACTTTTAAGCAATAGACGCGGTTTTATTGCTTATTCTGGACTATAGAGGAAACGGAAGAAGAAAAGGAGAGAGAGAAATGAGTTTTCTGATCACCAGAACAGCAAGGCGTCCCCCGCTGTTTTGATTTGACGGTTCTCCGTGTTTCTCCGCAGTTTGGCGTCGTCCGTCGGTTTGATGCTTTCTCCGTTGTTTTGGCCCCACGAGTGTTTCTCCAACGGGCTGGACACAAAGAGAACGAAGTTTCTTTTGTGCTGAGTTTGACAACTTACAGCGTCTCTGAGAGCTGGATGGAGTTGTTGCTTTCCTCCGCAGTTCTGTGTCCTCAACTTGGGCACTTAGAGCTTCCGCGTGCTCAAGGGAGTCGGAGCGTTCGACAAGCGTGTCCTTACCGCCAGGTATCCTGGGCAAAAGAACGAGGTTCCTTTGTCTTTCCTGATGATTTATAGTCTGAGTTCGCGGGAAAGCTCTGTGACTCCCACACATGCACAGAATGTGTTTCTGGTATTAGGCGGTGACGTCATCACAATGCTTCCGTGTGCAAAGCATCATGGGAAATGAAGTTTCTTGGCGCTGATGTGATTATTTGCTTTTCAAAGCAATCTAAGCACAGTCATTTTGGAGAAAATCACTGCATAGTAATTTCCTCATGAGGTCAGACCCTCAACATTCCCCCTTTTGGTTTCGGGGATCGCGCCCAAAGCTCGATCGTCGGAAGCACAGATGGGTTTGTCCCTCATGAACGTAGGTCGACTTGATTGTCGGAAGCACAGGTGGGTTTGTCCCTTAGGACGTTGGTCTCCTTGGACGCCTTTGTCTTTGGTCTTTGTCTTGGATCCTGGCGCCTTTGGTCTTTGATCCTGGTCAGGCACAAAGAGGATAGGAAACGGGATAGTCCCCAACGCGCATAACGAGAAGAAGCCACTCACGCAGGTGGTACGCAATGATGATGTCGTCCATGCGAGAGGTAGTAGTGTAGAAGGAGGAAGGTCGGTGGGCGGTTAACTCCACGAGGGGACACAAAGGCATCTCATCACCGGCCATACAGTTCAGTTTATGGAGCACGCGGTGATGTACGAGGTCCATAGTTCGCAAACGCGCATTGACCTATGTGGTCCCAAGATTTGCAAACTGGATGCTTTTCGGCGAAAATCGCCGTTTTCGAAACCATATGTGGCGTTCACGTGAATCATGTAGATCAAAAGAGTTTTAGTTTTTTTGGGGGGTGGGGGTTCTTCTGTCGGTTTCAGTCATTCTTATGGAAATCGGAATAAGGAGAGAGGACTCCGCTTGTTCACAAACAATCTTTGTTATAGTGTGTTAGTCACGTGTCATCATTTGACCAATCACAGTCAGAGACGGCACGCTGCAGACGATGAGGCAGAGCGACACTCAGTGAGTACGAGTGCTGTCCCTATAACTTCTCCCGATGGTTTTGAGCTTAAAAAGTTCGTCAAATTGAACCAAATCACCACTAAATAACAGTTTTCTGTCAAGGACTTTAGCAGATTTACCTTTATAGATTTTTCCCAAGGTTGGTCGTGTTTTTTTATTATTATTTTTTTGTTTGTTTTGGAGTTGAGTTTGGAGTAAAGTTTATATATATATATATATATATATATATATATATATATATATATATATATATATATATATATATATATATATATATATAGTAGCATATAGTAATATTAGTAACGTAACTAATTGTAGTTTTCACCTTTTTCACACACAAGGCTCTGGCAATAATTCCAGTTATTTAAAATAACAAGACGTTGTCAACATGAAACTGAAATTTTACTTATGTTGTCAGTTAAGACACATAAACATAGCCTGGCAAGCCACCCTATATAGGCAAGTATATAGTCTGGCTGTGACCCAGAGACAGAGCTCAGTCATGGGGGGAAATTTACGATTGTCTTTCAGACTGTCTCTACACGCAATTGGACGGTGCTAGAACCAAACGGAGCAAAGAACAATGTGACATATTCATAGCAACGTAAATAAAACGTCCAAAAAATTGAAGTACTTCTGTCTGCTCATGTCTCAAAGAAAAGCCCAAGCCTAAATCGTCCAAATTTGATGGCAAAGCTGTTTCAAACGAGCGCCATTCCTTCACCAGTGCCATTGTCATTTTTTCTCTCTGTCACAGCTCTGTCGTTATCATAATAAAAGTTCTGCTGTATTGACGCAAAGGGCCAATCGGATCTAGATTTCTAGGCTAACATAAACCCAGATCTGTTGTAAATGTGTCTAAAAGTGATGATTACTATGAACAAACAATACTTGTGTGTCTTTAGCATCAAATCATTCATTTGAGCTCCTAGCTGTGTTAAGTAGCAGCTTGACTTCAGATCATTTCATTCCAGGACCTTAAATCATCTTGGGTCTTGACCGCATATAATTGTTAGCATTTGGTCTTGACTGCCTTTGGAGCACTGCAGGTGGTGTGTTTCCATCAACAGGAAATGAGCGCTGAACCAGATGTGTTCTGATGCCACCAGCATCAATGTGCCAATCGGATTACGCGCATAGTACTATGACCCATAAACACTCAATGAGATTGGTGGCGTGAGCTAATGGCATTGATCATTTGTCACTCATTAAGAGGACTTTCTTTTTCTTTTCAGAGTTGAGAGACTGTTTTTGTTTGTATTGTATCAGAGTTGATCTCTGCCTTTAAGGTGATTTAGCTTCGTATGTGCTGGATTCATTCTGGATGTTCAGTCATCTGTTTGTCTGAGAGCCCGAGGGTCCCGTCAGACGCTGGTTCCTTCACTTGGTCAGAGGTTAGCAGAGCACTTTTCATCCTCCTGTGTTTGATTTGTGGATGTGACTGGGGACACTGGGACCTTATACACCCTCATCCCACCAGGACCAGTTAAGATGTCATTTCAGGACACAAAATACACTATAATGCATTGTTGGCCCCTGACCAATACTTAGCATTTAACTCGTACTTGGAAGTATCATTACTGCATGGTCATTGTTTTGTAAATACACATAGACATTCATCACTGAACTGTTATTATTAGCAGTTATCCATGAATTATTAAGCATATTATTCACTGGAGAATCATTCCAAGCTAAAGTCAGCTTATTCAAATTAAATGTCTCCATCTAGTGGCAGGTTGAGGTAAGAACAGTTGAAAACAATTGAAAATGTATTTGAAAAGACGTTTTCAAAGAACGTTAACTAAGCTTCTGTTCAAAAGCTGGAAACATAGTCCTTATTGTAGAAAAAATGAAGAATAAAGAATTCCAGAAATATTTGTGGTTCACCGTTTTTGTGTTATAATAGATTTGACAGTTTGTAATGCGTTTAATTTTAATGTTGCATTTTAATCATTTATGTTAGGCGACTTAAATTACTTTTAACAATCAAAAATGTCACCACAATTTCAAAGCTTAAACATCTGGGTCAGAATAAAAGTGCCACGCTCCTTGTTTATATCAAGGGTGAAGGGTTAGTTTAGGATTGTGAAAAAAAATCACTTTGACTTTAATTTATTTCTCTAAAAAAGACCTCACGATTTAAAAAAGGTGAGAGTTTTGAATTCCAGTTGAACACCTGATTTAAGTTTTGACACCAACATGTTCACTCACCCTAGTGTGCTTTTTATTTTCTCTGCAGCAGCTTTTCTGCAGAAGAGACTTTTATTTTGGGCCCCACAAACCCCAGATGTTCCAGTCTACCAAGTCTCTAACGTTCTACAAAACGCTAACCTTTCTAATGCAAAATGAACTCCAGCTGCTCTACTAAAGTCTCCGTTTGATGAGATTTCACATCTGAAGCTTCTGCCTCACACACGCTTGTTAAGTTGGCCTCTCGATCTGCTGAGTTTACACAAATCTTTTCACTAACGCTGACACTGTCATGCTAAAATGTGTGTGCTCAGCCTGATACATGACTGTTCCTTTCACTGCCTCCTAAATCTTAATTTTAGATTTGAATACTTAGAAGTTATATTATTTATATCTGCATTAGCAAAGATAATTCAATTTTTAATTCAAATCAAAGGTAAAGAAGTTCTTCTAATTGTTCTGTTAGTTATTCCCAGTTTTTTCACTCTGTCTTTCTGGAGTTCTGACATCCCTCTGGTTTCCTGCTCAGTTTTAATGATTCCTTCCTCCCAGATTAATGGCCTGTAATTGTGCTGACCTAGAAATACAAGCCACAAGCATGACTTTCTCTACCCAGCAGTTCTGCAGAGCCTTTGCTTGTTAAGTTTGCCTGATGAAGACTTAGCCTTGCGTAAACAAACCTGAATCCAGACAGGTAGTTGAAGTAAAAGGAAGAAAAATATTTTTGGAGAGTGTGTGAGCACCTTAAGAGCAGGAGGGGGTTACGCTGGTCTCCATTCATAAACACACAAAATGACATTATATCTAAAGTTGGATTTCTTATTATAATTTCATTCTGAACTTGGTTTTTTCCAGCTTGTCTTGGCGTCATCTTTTTAAAAACTTTTTTCTGCCTTGCGTTTACTTCTTGAAACGACTGAACCGTAATTAGAATCAGGCGTGCATTACTCGGCTCCAGCTCGACATGTACAGCCCTCAGCTGATCAATACAGAAACAATGGCTGGAGAAAATACGAGAACTCTGTGTGAGAAAGGCAGACGCTCGTGTTTGTTACTGGGAAGGGGCTTCTGACCAAAGAGAGCAGAAGAAAGAAACAGAGAGAATGAAGCAGAAAGGAACGGACTGTGTTGTCATCAAGGAAGTGGCTGGACGGTGTTTGTTGTGAAGGGAGGGGCAAACCTCATCGACTGAGGTGGAAACAAGCACACGCACACGCACACGCACACACACACACACACACACACACACACACACACACACACACACACACACACATACAGTGCATGCACCAACACCAGGAAGCCCAGCGGAGGAAGGGGGTGGGGTTGCGTAGGCGGGGCCCCCCTCCTTTCTCTCTCTCCCTCTCAGTGTCCAGACGACTTTCTCCGAAGGGAAAAAACCTGAAGTGTCCATGGAGGCCCTGACAAGCAGAATTTGAAGCAGAAAGAGGAGAGTAGGAGGTGAAAGACGAAGAAACCATGGAAGAGGAAGAGGAGGAGGTGCTGGGTTTTTTGGACAAGGTGCTGGAGGAGGAAGAGGAGGTGTTTGATTACGGAGATGGGGAACTGGAGCCCATCACTCCCATTCATAGACAGTTCAAGGTGAGGTGGGGGCTGGATAGCTGGATGCAGGAAGCGCGCTCGCGCGGCACACTCACACACACTTTGCCTTTAAAGAGCGTCTATTGATTGAAATGGAGAGTCATAATTGTGATGTGGCATCACTTTGAAGCTGCATGTGCTCATGAGCCATCTGTGCTGCAGAAGTGTGTGACAGCCTTCGGTGTGTGTGTGAACGCAGCCTGATGAGGCAGCTGCCGTGGAGCACATGTCTCCTCCCACTGCTGCTGTGTGAACACATCTGATTTCTGCTTCTCAGGCCAACTTTTGCCTCTCTGTGTGTGAACTCCCCACAGAAGATGAATTGACAAGAAACAGGGTTGCTAGTCTCTAACTCATGATGCCAGCTCTGTTAACACAGAAGTCGAGCAGAGGCTGTAAAAGGAACGTATGGAGGGCTTTTTTCTGCCACAAGGAGCAGCTTGTTGTGAAAAAAAAATCACTTTTTCCTTCTCCTGTCTTTCTCATTTTTCCTTGTCACACAGTAGCTCTTTGTACAGCAGAGGGAAAAATCCTGCTTCCTGTTTTTTCCCTGAACTTACTTTGACATATTTGTTTCTTGAATTGTAAACAAAACCATTAGGTCAGAGGTCAGGGCACCTGGAGATCCAGGATTATATCTTAACTCATAAAAATGTGACTAATCATTGTTATTCTGGAAACTCCAATTCAAAGACGTATTTTAATCTCTAAACTGTGTCATGTGGCCTTGAGTACCGGCACTGAAACAGCTTGTTTGTCGTGTCATAAAACCAGAGGAGGAGACCTGAACAGGATCTTATTCCGGAGCTTATTTCATCAGACTAACTGCTCCCACCACCAGAAAAAGCATCACACTTCAACATAATCACAGATTTGTCTCAAAACAAAGTTTTAAACACCAGCTTTGACACTTAACCTGTTAGAAATAACTTTTTAAATCGTATTTTTTCTGCCTCTCATCGGTATTAAAGGCTGATATGAGAGAGTTGAGCTCATGGCTTCTTCCTCATAATGATATCATCGTAAGAATCTGACGGTTAATAATTAATCATCTTTCTGCCCTCAAAGCTGCTCTTTGGCTGTTCGTAAAGGCACGTGCGTGAAAGTTGTGAAATTTTACCAGTGCAGATTATTATTATTTTTATTGTTATTATAATAAAACTCTTCTATATAAAATTCATTCTGAAGCAGTTGCCTAAATGACATAAAATCTGTTGAATATAAACAGGATTTTTAATGTTTTTGGTCTCACATGATGAAATTATGTGAAAGAAAATTTATCTCATAAATCAGGCAGATGCTAGACAACCATGCTGGTGTTAAATAAGTTTGCGTGTGTCTTTATGAATATGAGTTCATGTAAGAAAGTTGGAAAGTGTTTAGATGTTTCTAGATTTGTATTCAAATGTTCAAATTTTCTGATCTTTTTGAGACTGATTCACTTGCTGGGTCTCGCTGCTCCTGCTGATTCTGCTCCAGAACGGACCGTTTGATATAAAATGAGTTCTCCAGCTCAGATCAGCGGTGATTTCGCAGTCATTTCTAAAGGCCATCTACCTAAAAACTCTGAAAAAAATGCAAGGGAAACATTCAGAGTTATATAGTAGAAAGTTAAAGCCCAGATTTGAATCATGTTAAACTGTTGGAATAAAAACTGATGGAATGGACATTATCTTCATTAAATAGAAGCACATCTAACATTTTCATGTTCAGATATGATTTTAGGGGTCTCTTCTGTAATATTGACGTCTAGCTGCAACAGCTGCCTGGAAGACTGATGAGTAATCTTTTCCACTGAGGAAGCTAGCTAGTTAAATGCTCTTAAATTGGTGGATATTTCCAGAGCAGCAGTGCTCACAGACTCCTGTCCACTTTGGATGTGAATCGGATGTTTAACTGATGTGGCATCATGCTGAAAATGGGCTCCAGGTCTGATGTGGTGTTGGGTACATTTATGTTTGTAGAGACATGATGCACCTCTTTGACATTTGTCTCATTCTGCAGGGAGAAATAGAGAAAGGGCTAGAGATGAAGAAACTGGTGCTGTCTGGCTTCCTGACTAGTGAGGAGATCTACATTAACCAGCTGGAGGCCCTGCTACTGGTGAGAAACACACACACACACACACACACACACACACACACACACACACACACACCTGTTAAGTATCATACAGCTGCTGTGTGCAGGTGTGTGTAAATTTTCAGAAAGTCGCTGCTGGTCATAATGAAAGCAGGACCTCTCTTAACTGCAGTTTCCTGGAACACTTTCTTAGCACATTTCCCCATGTGACGCCACTTTTGTCACTTCCTGTCTGCTGCAGGTTGCACTCTAACCAACATCTAATCAGATGCAACATTTCAAAAGTTCAGAAGGCTTTAACGTGTTAAAACTAAGAATTTAGGCAGAAATCTGTTCTGATAATGTATTTCCTCTCATTTGAGCCCTTGGCGACGACATACCCACGCTACACCACTCAGTGATGATTTTTCTTCCACTTATGTCCCTCAGTAGCTGAGAGAACTTCCACAGCACACATGAACTTCTTTGTGCTTTGGTTTTTTATTTGTTTATGTTGGTCAGAAACGTTTTTACGTCTGTGAGTGAAACAAATGTAGGGTTTGTTTTGTTAGAGATAAAGATGGTGAACTTAGCAGAAAGCATTTTCTGTTGAAGTCTATTTGTAGACAAAATTTAAGGCTTGTGGACAGTTATTAACAGAACTGAGAGAAGCCATGAAGCCGTTTGAAATTTTCTGCTATGCCTTCGTACAGACACTGCGTAGGGGGCGCCTGCAGCTAATGTTGCTGCTTTTTGTCTGATGTTGCTCCATCAATCCCCTGAAATCAGCAAGAAGCTGACTCATCTTTAGCCCAGGAGAAGTGACGTGAAATCCTTTTTGTTGTTACTTTAATTCAGACGCTCCTTCCCTCCCACCAGGACCACAGTACACATCTGTAATCAACTGCGTGTGCCCTGCCTGCACACAACCGTCTCTGAGGAGCAAAGAAAATTAGACTGCCTCATGTTAAACCTGTGTGCGTGTTTTGAGTCCATTTGTGTTTCTTACCTCTCCAGCCCATGCGCCCTCTGAAGGCCGCAGCCACCTCGTCCCAGCCCGTCCTGACCATGCAGCAGATAGAAACCATCTTCTACAAAATCCAGGACATCTTTGAGATCCACAAAGAGTTCTACGACACCATCTTACCCATCATACAGCAGTGGGATGAAAAGGTCACTGTGGGTCACCTATTCCAGAAGCTGGTGAGTCTGACGTGACCCCAGAAAGGACACTGTGTGGGTCTTATCAAGCGGCTGTTAAAAGCAGAATTGTCAGGCCTCTCACTCAGACGCACAAGACCAAATTTAGACAAGTGAGTCACCAAGTGACTGTGTGTGTTGGTGTGTCTCCAGACAGAAAGCATTATTAAAAATGTCTCAGCCTCTGGTCTGACACCGTTTATTATGGTGCTTGAACAGGAGTACTCAGTGCATATTTTAAGAGTGACATTGTTAAAAGCTTTCCTGAGGTGCTGAAGTGTCAGGTCACCACTATTGTTCATTTTAATGTGTCTGAAGTATTTTATGTAGGTGATGTGACAGGTTAAACACACCCTTCACCTCTAGCTTTAAAGAAAACAGTGGGGGTCAATGAGACTTTTGGCGTGTGATGGCTGCACTCTGAAGGGATTTGGGAGAAATCTGTTGGTCTTACAGCAGATTTGCACAGTGGATGAGAGAGGACAACAAGAAGTTAATATAGTGATCCCTCGTTACTTCGCGGTTCGTTTATCGTGGATTCACGACTTCGCGGATTTTTTCTTTGGAGCCTTATTCAAGGGAAATTCGCCGATTCGCGGTATTTTTCTATGCGAAACATCAAGAAATTCCTGTTTTTTTCATCAATTTCATCATAAAATGCACTTTTTGTAATAAAACTATAAAAAAAAACAAGTAAAAATTTTTTTCTATGTAAAGGGAGGGTTTTAAAAGTCTGAATACTGAATACGTACCTGTTAAATAAATACTGTAAATATGGTGTCCCTACTTCGCGGATTTTCACCTATCGCGGCCAGGTCTGGAATGCATCTACCGCGATAAACGAGGGATCACTGTATAGTTGTCTTAGTCCAGTGATTACCCTTGTGGGTTGCTAGCGAGAGTCAGTTATGTAATATGTCGTGCAAAATCAATTTTCTTCGGCAATTGATACATTCATGGAGTTGGTAGTGGAGCATTGAAATTTGGAGGAAATTTGAGCCAACACAAGAGAAAAATCTTACATGTATTCTGTGACTGTATTTTCCAGGTAGCAGCATCTTTGAGTAGAAATAACCTTGTTGCCTCCTTTCCATCTGTGAGGCACCCAGAGGTCTGGCTCATCAGGAAAGGTCCATTGAGATTTTTGCAAACTTACAGTTGCATTGCTGTTTTGTAGACCAGTAGAGTCATCGTTGTTCCAACTCAACTACAATCTCTTTCAATCTCAGATTTGACCTTTAGAATAGAAAAAGTTATGTCAAAGTTGTTGGAGTTCTAAAATGTATTCAAAACGACTAACCTAATTTTTTACCGTGCATATATTTAGTCACCGTTTGGTTTCTAAGCATCTGGTTTTTTATGTCAGTGACTCAGCTTTTGATTCTAACCAGCCAAACGGTTTAAAATGCATTGAATTCCCACAGCTGCAAGAAAAATGTCTTGTTCAAATCGCTGCAAATGGTTATGGAATTGGTTATGAAACAGGACTCAGTTTCCAATGTGAGCTCAGTTTCCAGCTTCATTTTACAGATAAGAACTATGCTAGCGATACTTAAAATGGTGGAATAGGAGATGTTTTTCTTGCTGTCCAAGCAAGTTACTTTTTGAAAATACATAATTCAAAGGCCTTACCCACTTTCTGTAGGAGTTTCCCTCCTTAGACCACGCCTCCAGATTAAGGAACACACAATTATTGTTCCAGAGGGTTCAGTATCATGTTTTCAACCCATTGTTGGTACCTTTTCTGCCATTCGCCCATCCATCCATTCTCTTCCACTTGTCTGGAGTTGGGTCACGGAGGCAGCAGCCTAAGCAAGGAGCCCCAGACTTCTCTCTCCCCAGCCACTTGGGGCCAGCTCCTCCGGGGATTTCTCATGGCATTACCTGGTCAGCCAAGAGACATTCAGTCCCTCCAGCATGTCCTGGGTCTTCCTTTGAGTCTCCTCCCGGATGAATGGGCCCTTTTCTGCCATAATTGCGAAAGTAACGTACCTACCAAATAAAAATTTAGCATTACTACTTACTTGTGAACTGCCTGCACACAAACGTCTCTGAGGAGCAAAGATTAAAATTGCCGTTACTAAACTCCCGACACTGGAAAACATGGCGGAATTCCCCCACAACAAATTGATTGATGGCTTTGTTGTCTCACAGAGCGCCGTAAAAAACTGAGCTTCTTTTGGTCATTGAACGCCACTTTTTACATCACGCTGCTGCTGTTGTCCTCCGAATTGATTAAATAGTTAAACACATTGTGAAAATAAAACTTTAAATGTTATTAATGTTACTGTGGATGCTTTTTTGGCGCTGATCAGTGACATCATTCTCTGCTGAAGCAGTCGCAATATGCTGACGACTGTGCAAAGTTCTGAAAGGGCTGAATTTGAATGGAGGCACAACAGCTGAGAGGGCCGGCCGGGCTGTCAAATCTCCCGCTCAATTTCATCTCCCAGAATTTACCTTGAAGTTACGACAATGGAAACGAGAACGAGTGATTCGTGCAAATGTAGGGGTAGGGTGGGGTTGGAGGAGGGGTTCACAATGATTGGATGAGGGTTTTCCAGGGTTGCTCATTTCAGATTCAATAAAAATTCGCAACTTTTTTAACAAAACATTTAATTTGTTGGTTGCTAGGGATGTGTATTTTTGAAATTCTGGCGATACGCTACATATCACGATACAGGGGAGATGATACAATATATCACGATATATTGCGATACATTCAGTCAGTCGTTACAAGCAATTTTTTTTTACTGAATTTATTGTAAGAATGTTCAATAAACAGTCCAAACTGATACGTAACATGTTTAACATGAGGTATCTGAACCATGATGGAGAGATTTACATTTCAGTGGCGGAAACAAAACCTGCTGCACACTGCTGCCAACTAGCGGGTGGCGATTGAATTGCGCAAAACGAAAAGAAAATACACAAATGTTTGCATGTAAATTCTTTCAGGAATTAGATACACGGCTTTTGAATATCGATGTAATAATCGCAGGAAAAATATCACGATATATTGCCATATCGATATTTCCGATACACTGCTTTTGAATATCGATATAACATTGCTGGGGAAAAATATCACGATATATTGCCATATCGATATTTTCTTACATCCCTACTGGTTGCCATCACTTTGCGAAGAGCATTTCAAGCAATGTGGCTGAACGTTCTCCATAAAAACGCTTTGGCGTCTATTGGTTTGACTTGTTTTTCTGATAGCAGTTAACAAAGTAGCTGAAATCCAAGTTCTGATTTAGCAGCAAAAATACAGAAACTGTTTTTACAGAAAGATTTTTATGAGTTCAGTTTCTGCGTGCAGATCATTTAATGTTAATGGTGTGGCTGATATGCCACTTCATTAGCTGGCATTAAAAGCAGAAAAAATAGTACAAATAGCTTAAAAACTAAGTTTCCTCTCAACGACGCTCCTCCTCTCACGGGACTGCAGGAGTCACACCACTAAGTGTCAGCTATTAGCGCACTCATCCGCTCCCACCTGCGTTGTGTATACGTGCGTACATGAGCATGTCGTGTGGCAGCAAAACATTTAGTCAGAGTGGCAGTGTGATGATACAGATGGCAGTGTAATTAGTTGGTCTGCTCCCTGCTGCTCCTCCTCGGCAGCAAACGCAGAGTTTCATAAAGATGGGCACAGAGGAGATGAACAGCCAGCAACAGTTTCAGGTTCACAAACGAGCTGAGCTGCAGGTTGTGGCTGCTGGGATTTATTAATTCAACCCAAATAATGTGTCTGCAGACAGAAGCGGGTATACATGGCGTGGGCGATTCTGGGTTTGAAACAAATGCAGTCCATAGTTTGATGGCTTGCCCTGACCTTTGAACTTTATTAGTCTAAAAAAAATAAAGCTTTTTGTCATGTTATTTTAAACATGAATAAGCATTAATTTCACCTTTGTATGGAGGCCAGTCATTCCAGTTTAGATTCAAAATGAGAAACACGTGTTGGGTTAAATATCTTTTGCTTGATTTGATAGATTATTTTAAAATTAAACCAATTCTTAGTCATTGAATGGTATTTTTGTCTATTTTGAAGTGTTTTTTTGTGTAAAAGTTTCAAATATTTGTCATTTTAGATCCTATCAACTCCTATTTACTGCATTTCACAGCTTGTTATTTTATAAAACTTTACAATGTTTTTTTTTTTTGCATCACGTAGTTATTTAGGTACATTTGACCCTCAGACGCACCTGGAAGTGCTGTGTTTGTGCTGCTGCTCGTGGTATTTACAGTTGTAGCTCATGAGTGATGAAAATCCTTTTGAATATCTGTAATGTGAAACTAATGCAGGAAGGTTGGAAATAGCCGCTGTGGGATGTGATCACCATTTCTCTCAATTTATTAAACAATCATTTATATATTTAACACACAAACACACCAAAATGAGTCAAAAGTAGAACCAATTCATCGAACTCACTTTACCAACATCGTTTTAAAAAGCATCTTCAGCTTGCCTATTGCTCATTAGCCATCACTACCAGGTTAACAGGCTTCTAAAATGTGAACAGGGTGTCAGAAATGTTGGCTGTGATATTTACCGCCTGTTTTTGGTCAGAAAGTGACGATGAGTTCAGCTCGGTGTTAATGTCTACAGTTCCTGTTGCTGTGGCCGCTTGTGTTTGGGATGCAGCAACAGATGAAGTTCTGCGTGTGTGACAGTGTGTCAGAGCAACACGATGAAAGGCCGTCACATCAGTCTGCTTAGATAGTACTTTCCATCTGAGCTGCTAAACGTCTTATCTTTTGAGCGTTGGTGTTCACACGTGATGGTTTTTCTAGTGTTGCGTCTTCTGGACATAATTGATTTTCCTGTAAGAAGGAGCTAATGTATCTCCAGCCTCTTGTTAGATCTTTTTTTTTTCCAGTGCTAAGAACACACCTCCATCATCTGAAGAGTAAAAGACTGGATGATCTTCTTTTTTACATTCTGAGGTTGAGCTGAAAGATAGGAGCTCAGGGAGTTTAAGAACAAAAGTAACGAGTCCAGCTCATTCAGTCTATTCAGTTGTTGCTTTAATGGGCTGCAGCCAGCTCTTTGCTTCCATTCAAACGTTGCAGTAGCAGGATGCATATTCATGCTCTGCAGCTTCTGTTACACGACACGTAGTGCTGCAGAGTGGAGCAGTTCATGGGAGGAAGGAGAGAAGAGAGAGGGAGTCTTTTTTTCTTTGCCAGATGAATCTCCACCGGTGGGTTGGATTGATGGAAATACTTTGTAACAGGGGGATTTCATTGTGAATAAAGATGACTGTGCGATATGTAAAAATGAGGGAATGCATCTGGTTGATGAAAATGTTTATTTGTTGTTACTAATGCTGAATGTGTATGTTCAGTTTAAGTGGGTAGAAAGTAAACAAAGCGATCTGGTTTCTGTCTGACTCACACCTCCTCTCTGAGCCGTCTCTTCTTACACGCTGCAGGCCAGTCAGCTGGGAATCTACAAGGCCTTTTTGGACAACTACAAGACTGCAGTGGAGACGGTGGACAAATGCAGCCAAGCCAACCTCCAGTTCCAGAACATATCCGAGGTCAGTCATGATAAGATGATCAAGGGCCTTGCGGAAGGATTTCTGACAAGCAAATTCCTGACATTCTCTGTCCTCGTTTACTTCATTATCAGCATATTTAGCTTTACAACAGTAGTACTACAACTATTAGTTCCTTGTTGGTCTCAGGTCCCATAAAAAAGTAATAAAATAAACTGAAATGGACAGAAGAAAGGAAGCAAAGTCATTTGCAACATCCTCTTTTATACAGAGAAAAAAGGGAAATGTTGTCTTAGTTTTATGAACATTGCTGCTGAAGGTTCTCATTCGTGCAGAATACGGTCATCTTAGAACGTTCAGACTGAACTTTTAAGATGCTTTGTTCTCTTGAAATTGAGAAATGTTTTCTAATCTAGCAAGATTGAGATCCTAAACTAAAATTAAATGTGGAAATAGACAAATAGGATGTTCCTTTACAGGAAAACCTCAAAGCTTGAACATGTTCCCATGATTCCATGTAAAGAACATGTGTCAACATGTTAACACGTGGTACCTGGTACCAATGTGTGTTTCACGTGTTATTCTAAAGGCTTCACATGTGAACATCTGTATGTGTAGCTCTTTATTACCATTAAAATGTTCCTAATTCTAACAGGATATGGGTGCAAAACACAGGTGGTCACATGATTTCCACATGTTTGTCAACATGTTCTCACATGTTACATTCTATATGAGCAAAACCCAATAAATACTATAAATAAATTACATGTATTACCAACACAGGGTTAAATGTGCAGCAGGGTTAAATGCATAACAATTCTACCATTATTAAAGTTAGTGTGTGGTTTCCCTGGCGATAGGGGGCAGTACTTACCTAAATCGTTGCAAGCAAGCAGTTTTTTTGTGTTTGAGTAAGACCTTACCAACGGATGCCCATTAGGGTCAAAAATCCCTGGGAGCGCAGCCTCCAGCAAAATAACAAGAACATCCAACTCCCTTTCATCACTGGCAACGAGTGAAGAGGTAAACGTGTAAAACAACAATGTTTATGAATGGTGAAGGTTTTGTAACCGTTGGTGAAGAAATACACTCCTCGATGTCAAATGGTTTTATTGACAAGGATGAAGGAGCCCTGCGGCGACATACAAAGCTGAGTGAGCAGAAGCTAACGGCAGCGTGAATCAGCAGCATGGGCTGAAGACCAAAGCTAAGCAATGCGATAAAATGGGTAACTAAATGCAGCGCGGCTTAGCGTGTATACTGACATGTAACCATTACATTAGCTTAACAAGCAGGTGAAGACTTACAGATACAAGTCGAACAGTAGCATGGATAGACAGCAGTGTGATGGTTGAGAAGCAGTAATCCAAATAAGAAGCAGCATATGTACAGTGAGGGATCGTCACATGTACGTGACTTCCGGCACGTCCGTGAATACACCTTTTTCCCTCGAGGCTTGATCGCAGCACACCCTAGTGGCCAGTGGTGACCTCTGCAGTTGGTTACAAATCAATAAATGCATTTTGTCTTCATGGGCTCCCGTAGAAGGAAACATGGCGTCGCCTAGAGACTTAGACCCGCTCCCATGTATTTTAGACCTGATTTTTATGGTTTTTTGTTACAAAGCTGCCAATATTTCTCAACAACTGGACACCATTTAATTCATTTTCAACAAAAATTCGATGGATCTTACCAGAGATCAACTGTAAAACCACACATTGTCTATTTAAATACATACTTATAACATTTTTGTTAAATTTTCATATAAAACAGAGCATTTAATTATAATTCTAAAGAATTGAGGAGAACTTCCCTCTAGTTATTAGTGTGTGACCGGGCCCGTTTCTGGAAGTGTGCATTTTAGCTTTCTGTCCTTGTAACTGTTGACCTAACATTTGACCTTCGGTCTGTGCTTTTTGTGTGAATGGAGCTGCTACCACCACTATAAAGCCTCACAGTGTTGAGCCTGTCATCTCCTGCCGAGCTTCAGTCAATATGCTGCTAAAAATACAGACGCGCAGAGCCAGCGGACGTAAAGAACAGCAGCGCATCACAAGCGTGGCTTCCCTACAGCTGACAATATAGATTTTAAGCTCTACAAAAGGATAAAGACACCTTTCACTCTAACTGCTTAGCTTTTAGTTTTTTTTTTTAGAAATCAGCTGGAATAGTCAGATAAAAATC